GGCCATGTTTGGCACCATTCACAATGCAAAAACGGATGTGAGCTCGGCGATCGCGACGTCGGACAATCTGTCGATATCCGCAAGGCAGAAACGATCAACCCCCATAGCCGAAAAAGGTTGCATGCGTCGTAGAGCTGATCATGCGTCGTCGATCTCCAGAGGCAGAGTGGGTCGCTTCGAACAGGCTTTCGAATATCAGCGACTAAGTTCTCAAGGTGCTCAGGATCCTGATCAGAGGGGCCCCGAGGTGTCTCCCATTGTTTGGTCTCCTGGTCCGGGATCTCCCGAAGGTGGAGGGCGGCGCGCTGCCCGCCTTCAAACTCCTCGGGGCCAAGAGGTGACTGGCGAGTATTACGGTGTAAAACTTTCACGGCGGGCGCTGGCGCACTCCGCTCACGCGGCTGCGACAAGGGCCCGCCGATGGCGAGGTGCTTGGTGCGCTCGGCAAGTTGATCGGCAAAACCGACGCCAGTTGCGAGCGCGGCGTTAGGGCATTGATCCAGAGATTCCGGACAAATCTTCCACTGGCCCCACCTGCAGTGATCCTTCCTTCCTTCCTTCCGAGTCGCACACCAGGCGGCGCGTGGACAGACAGAGCGCGGAAAATGCAATAGACAAAACACTTGGAGAATCACAGTGAGAGAATGTGATGGCGCAGCGTGCGCTTCCAGCCCGATACGGACTGCGCTGCGTCTACCGTCGCGTGAACACCTGCAGCGATCGCGCGGTCGAAATAAAGAATGACAGTAAGCAGGCGCTTTAGAAGAAGATCGAACACTGCTCGAAATAAAACCAACTGCTGCTCGGGCCCGTTGGCCCGCCTCTTGCGCCGCTGAAAACTGCCCGCTGCCGTCGAAAGTCGAGTCCGCCAAGGCTGCTGCACGTGGGGGGGGGGGGGGCTGCTGAGCTGCGCGGAGGAGACGGGGGGGGGGCTCGCAGAGAGCCCGACGTTTCTTCTTGCGGCCACCCAGGTTTCATCAGATCTGCAAAACTCAACTTCGGGGACTCTGATCTCACCGACTGAGACTGGGGCGGCCCCTCCCGGGCGCCTGTCGCAGGGGCATTACTCTCGAGGGTCGCAACGGGGGCCGGATTATCTGACTGCAGGCCGGGTTCGACTGAAACGCGAGCAGGAGAAAGCAAAGCGAGGGGCGGCGCAGCAACTCCGAAGTTGGGCTCGTCGGCGCACGGGCTATCGTCGGGGGTGCCGTCCCAATCGTAGTCGCGGGCCTCTTCGGTGACATCGGAGTCTCCTGCCCCGGCGCCTGGGGCCTCGCCCCCCCCCCCCCCCCATCCCCGACCGCTCTGCGTTCAAGCCCGCTTTTTAAGCTTCACCGAACCAGGCAGTGATCTTGCTGCTGCGTTTTTCTGGTGCGCGTTGCCTAGCGAGATCTTGCCTCTGCTTGCCAATGGGAGACTTTGACCTCTCGGTGGCCTTCTTCTGAAGCCTGAGGGCCAAAGAGCGCCTCGGCGCTGGCTCTAGGAGGTGGGCGAAAAGTTCGGCGCCCGACTCCGCGAGCTCGGTTCGCAGACCCGCGCGCGGCCTCCGCGGCGCGTCGCACGCAGCTTGCGCGACGCGCATGCACGAGCCGGCAGCGGGGCACGCAACTAAATTATCTAGGCGCGCGGGCCCCCCCCCCGGGGCACAAGTGACATCCAAAGAACTGATTTTCGTCCGAGCGCCCGCGCGTTCGAGGGCACCTGTTTTTTCCCCCAGCGCAGCCGGGGGGGAAGTCCAGTCAGCGGCGACTATCCAGGGCAACGGAGCACACAGGCGGGGCTAGCGAATTCACGGAATCGAGCGACATTCTGATCCGTAAAACCGATGGACGAGTGTCCGTACAACGCGATGCACACAAGTGAGAAGCCTTTGCAATGGGTAAGGAGAGGCAGGAGCCCATCGAACGTCGACCCCTTCTCGGCTTTCGAACCCGATGCTGCTCTATCTTCGTCTAAGACCTGCACGGGGAGATGATTACGAGTCAAGGGAATTCACCTCGCATGATTTCTCCGATTCCTCGGCGACGGGCCACGCCGCCTTGAGCCGCGCGCCGCTGACAAAGAGTTTAGAGAGCTGTCCCTCGTCTTCTTGCGCCGACCAATGATGCCATTGCCGAGGACGTGCGCTTCGCATAATGCAATGACATCGTACTGAAGCAGCTGCAAGTGTTGGACGGGCCCGCAGGCCTTGTCAACCATGCATCCGATGCTCCCGAAGAACAACAATAATGACTTATCGGATGTGAGTTCTGAAAAGATGCCCAATAGAAACACTGGAACCGGTAGGCGACGATGGTGTCTGAAGACTGCCCAATAGAAGCGCTGGAACCGGTAGACGACGATGACTGCCCAGTAGACGCACTGGGACTGGTAGACAAAAGTGACACAAGAGGCATGGCACTGGCCCCGAAGTTGTGGTTGCGCCAGCGCCCGTCGCGCTGGCGCCCCTGCTCCTCGGTGAACCACGCGCCGAAGAACGAGCCGCCACTGACAGTGACTCCTTCTCCTTGCCAGGAGCAGCAGCCTCGCCTCTGCCGCCGCCCTCGGCCATTTCGGCCGCCTGGTGCGCCTGGAACTTCATCTGCGAGAGGCGCGCCGCCGCCTCTTTGAGCTCCCGCGCCTCCTTCTTATCCTTGGCGGCGGCAGCCCCCTGGGCACCAGCGTCGGGCTCGCCCCCCTTGGCAGAGGATGCGCCGCATTCGCTGCTGCTGCCACCGCTCGCGGTTGCTTGGCCCCCGTCGCCTCTGCACTTTTCTTCATGCGAAGGAGGCGTTCCTGGCGCGGTCCGCGAACTTATTCCACTCCGCGCCCTTGCCCTGCGCCTCCTTCAGGTAGCGCTCGAGCTCTGCCTTCAACTGCCTGAGCTGCACTTTCTCGCTCTCCTCGTAGTCCAAGCTCTCTCACTCCGCGAATATGTCGTCGTTCAGCAGGACGGCGACCTCCGTCTGGGCCTTGGCCATGCCGCCATGCGTGCTGCTGCGGTGTCTCGGGGTGCCAAGCTCATCATCCTCGAAATGAGCACTACGATCATCCCGATCAATGGACCGAGAGCGAAGACGGACGAGTCTGACCTTTTTCGAACACTCGGAACATTCGCAGCCCGTGGACAACAACTTGTCGTTGTACTCGAACGTTTGACAGGAATTGCATTGCGACCAAGTGCGAGTCGGCAAGATGTGTGATTGGTCTAGGTCAGATTCCCAGCTTTCGTGCTCCGAGACTGACTGTGGGGGGGAATCAGCTGCCGAGTTCCCTCAAGCTGGGACAGCCCGAACAAAATGCTCGGGCCTGAGTGGCCCGAGGAAGGAAGAAGAGGAAAAGAAGGAGAAGGAGGAGGTTGGCTATCAAGGCAAGGGGTGTGGCGCCCTCGATGGAGGAGCTCGTGGGGGCTCGGGCTTTGGCCAAAGCCTCTCAAAGTGAACCTCGCGCTAGATTCACGACCCCCCATCCGTAGTAGGCTGTCAGGGCTCCGGTAAGAGCTGCCAGCCGCCCTGTTACTCCCAAATCGGTGGGCCCCACATGTACGCATTTGTAATTCCGGTTTTCGACATTTGGCCGAAGGGTGGGGTAGGAGGGGGGGTCTGGGCCTGGGCTGGTACTTCATTGATTTGCATCTACCAGTCGCGCAAACGGACTGAGGGTGGGGATCCTGGCCAGTCGCCAGAAGCTCACCGCCCAAAGCAAGCAAGACCTGGTCCATGGAGGGGGGAGAAAAGAGAGGGATGGCTGGGGTCCCACGCCGATCGGCGAAACGATCAACAAAAAACAGCTACTGCCCTTCTGCTCCTCACGCTCCCGGTGAGAAGTAAGCGTTATGTGTTGTTCCTGGGGGCCGAGAAAGATTGTGGATGCATTGGCCGCAGGACCCGTGGCACGCGTTGCCACGACCTTCTTCCCCCACTCCCACTTCGGTTCCCATTGACCACCCATGCTGGCATATTCGGGTAGACAAGTGCACCGAGCTTAACCTGGGTGGGCATGTCGCTGCGTTGGTGGCCACTCCCTCCATGCCCTCCCTGCCAGGAGTGACGGCTCCAAGGCTCACCTCAAATCTTGTGAAGCCCTGTGCGGGCTCCCCACCTTCGGAGAGGACCGCAGACAAACCGTTTTCAATGATTCCTGCTGCCTGCTGGCGCCTTCCCACTTCATGACGGTGGTTCGGACCTCGGGAGTTCTGGGGCTGCCGATTCACCCCCATCCTTCCATGGACCGCCACGTTTCTGGCTGGAGCCCTCCCTGTTTTAATCCTCTTGTTTCCTAGCCACGCGGTTAGGTTGGCAGCATGCTGCCTCCTGTGGACTCGGACTCGCCCCTCAGGACTTAGACGGTTCACTTTCCAGGTTTCGAACGACGCCTTCGGCTCGAGGGATAGCCTAAGTCATATTTTCTGTGAGGGGATGGGTTCCTCTTGTAATTTGACTTCCTGTGCTAACCCTCCCGGGCAGCTGATGGTGTCCGTTGTCTGTTCGACGAATGTTCCGCAGGCCACCACCACTGTGGGCGCTGATCTCTCGACTCTGGCCTCGCGCGCGCGAGTCTTGGTTGCGGGTCAGGGCTGTCCTCGCTCGCCTGCCGCCCCTGAGGGGAAAGTGAATTTGCAGGAGCTCGGCGAATAAGGCTCGCTGTGTGAAGTGCTGTCAACATACTTTTCGCTCTAATACTTAGGTCGGTGAAAAATAAGAAGGAGCATGAGGCAGAGGGTGGAGGGAGGAGGTGAATAATGAGGAGGCGACGGGTTGATTCTCCGGGAAGACGGTTGACTCTCCGGGAAAATGGTTGGTTCTCTGGTTGGACTTCTGGATCCTGATGGGATCCTGAAGATTTTGGCAGAAGAGATGATTCTCCAGGTGAGACCCGATCAGGGACCGCCAACATTCAGTCGAACTTCAATGTCTCAAGCCTAAATGCGATCCCTGAGGGAGACACCCAAGATTTCGTGACACTCTTGCCTCGGGTGCCCATAAAAAACCAAAGATTCGTGACACGTGTTGTGATGTGGC